CCTGGAGATTCCATGTTTTTTCGTTCTAAATTGTCTTATAGGGGCCAATTACGTGGAGGCTGACAAATAGGATATGTATCAATTGTGTTCTCCCGTTAGCACATCAGAACTAAGTACACTTGTGGCTCACAGAATAGAAAGGAAACATTATCATAGGTAATTGACGTACATTGTAGACATGACCGTTCCACTACTTCTTCCAAGGGGATTGGCAATAGTGAATCACAGACACTGATAGAGTAGTAGATAAAATATTGTGTACAATTCAAAATCAAAGATCTTTGTACAACAGAAGTTTACAAATTTAATATCCACGTAAAGAAATCTACTATTCCGTGTCAAGACAGAATAATTGAATTCTCATGCACGAATGGCCCTTTATTTGCGCCTAAAAAATTACATTATGATAGATATATAAAGAATGCTATTTTGGAGGAGGACAAACATGAGATAGGAGAGGCCTCTGAATCATTTTCGGCGCTATATTAAGATAACAGTAAAACCATCACCCTTGATCAGTAATTCAAAATTATGGATGGCAATAAACATTACATATACAAATATACATACTCCAGCAGTATTGAAGGGAAAAAAGACTTGTGACATAATGAACAAACCATGGAGTCCAAAATTCAACAACGTGGTGAGCAACAAGACTTAGAGGTAACATCATTTGCGGAAAATATGCATCTGTTGCTTCTGTAGAGATTGTGAAATAATGTTCTGAAGAAAAACTGAACATTTATAGAACGATTACTAAAATCTCCCTCCTATAGAGGTCAGTCTGGAACACTGGATACAAATTCCTTTCCTGCAGTATCTAATGTTGTTCTACAGTATCTAATGTATAGTATCTCCAGCGATGGTAGTCACAGTGTGGACAATGGACATCAGCCTTCAGGCTCTCTAATTTTACAGATTATGTACACTCTCTCTTTTTATAATTTGGGAGCAGAGAAAACCAATTTGTGATACATATCTAGAAAATAAGAAAGATGTTACTTCTTCCCAGGCATTTTTAGCATGCAGGCACATTAGTATATGTTACTTCTTCCCAAGCTAGTGATTCATGTTTGATCCGTGAAAAATCTGCAGCTCTTAGTTTCAACTCCAAGGTTGGCGCTGACACCATTGCTGACAAAATTAAAAGATAAAATATATCATCAAAAGCCTGACAACGAATTTTTGAGAGAGGGAGAGAAAGGGAGATGTATGTACTGGTGTGAGGTGAAGTAGAAAATCTACGCGAGTTCATGCGAGCAAGCAATCGTGGGACTGCGGAGAAGGAGAGGCCGGATCATGAGAGAAGATCGTGGAGAATCCTCACCGGAACTTTAGAAGAGGAGGTGAAGGAAGGTGGGATGTGGTCGTTGGAGCCTTGAGAACATGGTGGACGGATGAGGTTGTCTGCATCTATCATGGGGATCAGCTGACCCATCATTGTCTTGGGCGGGATGCAGCTTGAGAGGTGACAACACCGGCGGAGGAGGCGGCGGAGACCTCAGCCAGGATCCCAGGAGCATGGCAAGAGAACAGGGTAGGCGGCGGAGCATGCCAGCGACCATGGTAGGCGGCGGCGAATTCTGCAAGGAATAAATGAAATGAAGGTAGGGAAGGGAAGAAATCACGTCCATCTATTCAAAGACGTATGACCCATCTAGACAGAAGGACACATCAATTTCCCTTTAGTAACCCAGTAGTTTTTCTTTTCTGTGGAGGTATAGGTGGGACATCACGCATGGACTTTCTACATCTAACGGTTGTTGGTACTTCCGACTAGTAAATAGTACAAGATTATCGGTCTATTTAAGGCTCATCTAGCTGTGACATTGTTATGTCACATCTAAATGATGTCATGGGGAAATTCGTTGTCCCCATTTTTTGTGTGTGTTTGATTGTTTACATTGTTTTCTCTTGCCAGCCTTCCTCGAGCACAGCAAAGTCCACCACCCCGACAACACAAAGCCCAGCAATGCTATTCTTACGTACTGATTTTACAAAAGTCCTACGCACTAGTTCAGATCGCTGGCAATTAGTTTTTGTTTTTTCTCCAGACGGTTATCGTCTACTAGTATCTCACAGGGGTAGGTTTTATAGTAGAACTAGATCATATATGGCGCGCGTTGCTGCGCCCATCCATTTTTGCACTCTAGTGTTAGAGATTGACAAAAATATGTGGTGAAAATATTGTTTTAATAGTGGCATACACCGTATATAGTATCTGTGATGCTTTATTTCACATTCCACCATTTTTGGTGGATTTGTTGGAAAATAGCTATCTAGTATCCCTTTTTGACACTTGTCTCTAGTCTCCTCTAGTGTTAAAAGGATACAATTTTTCCACTAATGACATATCTGGGCTGTGCAAAGGCAATATGTACTACCCTCTTTATAATCTGTTCTATCAAGAAATCTGAACAAATCATACTATAAAAGTGAAGGATCGTCCAAGAACATAATATTGCTTCCTCTTTGGAATGTTGTAGTTCTGAGTTTCCATAGACTTCCCTCTTATCTCCCGAACATGGACCTACTCCTTGGGTGGCTCAGCGGGCTTGGCATTCTTCCCTTGTCCTTGTGCTTGCTATTCCCGATCTGTATTTTGTTCCACCAGGGCCACCTTCATCTAGGCATCATCCGTGTTGGACCACTTGACATCTGATTATTTCTACTTCTTTACCTGAAAGTCAGAATTGATGCAGAACCCCACAGGAAACATCTAGTTTGCCGTCAGGCATGTACAGACAGTAATTGTCAGTGGCACACAACACTGGTAATCGTCATAATTAGCAAACAAAGTGACAACTGAGGCACTCATGAGAGGCTCCTTGACTTCAGCTCTCACATGCGGAAAGCAATGAAATAATGTACGACCATTAGAAGTATGAATTTTTCCATGCCAATACTATTAATAAGAAAGATCATGTGGCTCATTTCATGATAAAGGGAACATACACATTGGAAATCAAATAACAGTATGGATGGTTTGTTTTGGCCAATTGGAAATTTTGTTGCTAAGCCAAAAAATTTGGGAGCATCAATGAAGATGTCTTCTTATAAATAAAACATCACTAGTGATGATTTCATCTTGTATGAAACTATGCAAGATGCAATAGCCTTTCGGTTGTTTTTTTCGCACTTGAAATAGCCTAACTTCTAGTGATCATCAAGAAGCTATCAAGAAGTTTCCTGACCGATGCACAACAGCTCGACTATGTTTTACCCCTTATTCTATTATATGATTATAGAAATCTGCTACATACAGCAGCAAACAGTACCATGTCATGAATATAACACATAAATAAAATTCATACCGTCCTGATCTGCCTGTCTACATGAACTAATTAGCTGGATGCAGTCATTGCAGATTGCCAATATTTGAGAATCAACTTCCAAAATTTGCCCAAATCACTTAACCAGAACCAGGATGAGCACTGCTTGTACAAAATTAAGATTGAAAACACATTAGCACATCAGAATCACTGGGTGGGTGAGGCAAATTGTGCACAAGGGCATGAATTCAAGTGTGTCTAGATTGTTAGTAAAGTACCTGGATTAATCGCAGACGGTAAGTGGCATACTTTAACTAACAAGAACAGGAACTGCCTTCACGCAGGCTGATAGCCTTCAATGGCCTGCACACAACCGCATGTGTGGTTCCCATCTCCCTGTCTTCGGCATCGCCTCACTTCGCACACCATCGGCGCCCCATATGGCCTCGTCCGCATAGGCCAGACTTGCTGGCTTTTATCCCCTCTCCCAAACAGATCGATTTGGATCAGATCAAAGAGTGGCAGGGAGGAAGTATATATACATGTACCACTTAGAAACTGAAGTTTCCAGCAGATGAGCCGTGAGCGCCGCCATGAATATGTGCTTAGATGCGGAAGTGTGATTGTGTGTTTGAAGTCTGAGCAGTTACCAGTAGATGAGTTGTCAGCCATTATCGCTCCCTCATTCTACCTCGCAGGTAGATCGACCGCCTCGTCTGGATCGACCAGCGCCCGATTCACCCACATCATGATCGTGCGTCCTCTCTCGGCTGGATCAACTCATGCGCCTCAGCTGGATCCTGGAAGATCGCGTGACAGTTGATCCCCTGGCAGAGGACTGGATGGATTCGATGCGATCGCTCCGCTGCGCCTCGATAGGGATTGGATTTTTCCTTTTTGACGCAACCGAATCGAGACAGGATGGATTTCAGGCGGTCGCTCCTACGCCTCGCAAGCCCAGCTCAGCACTCGACCTCCTTTTAGCACTGGAGTGGGCTGGCGTCTCACGAACGGCCCAATGCACCAGAGGCATCCGTTTTGGCCTGTGGAGCAGCAGCCCACAGGACAGCTGGGCTAGTTTAAATAGATTGTGGAGTAGATACGAAATCTAACGGCCAGGAACTCCCAGATCAATAAAACGGACGGTCGAAAGCCCAAATCGCTGTGAGCGCAGGGATTAGGTGCGATTATACTGTCCTTAATTTGTGCGTAGGAATATTATTTTTGCACAAAGCTTACCAGTGACAACAACAAAGGCAATAGCCCAGGCATAATAGGAGCTTGTTGTTGCACCGGCTAAAAAAAAACTTTTGTTGCACGGCAAAAAGTTTTTCACGCGTGGGTCAAGAATTTTTTTAAAAACCCCACCCATATATTAATTAATTAAAATAAATGTTCATACAATCACCCATGTAGGGCGGAACACTATTAATAAGAATACCATCAGACGTATTAATAAAACTAAACTTCGCAATCTCATGCGCTACCAAATTCGCCATCCTGTTTCTCTTGGTGATTTTTAGATTCCTCATCATCTTAGAGACACTCAACGCTTCCTTCTTCAAAACAGCAAGGTTTGACCTTATCATTTTGCAAAAACGGAAGCCACAGAACAACTGTGAGCTGGTCAGTTGTATCTAAATCAAACTTCTTTGCGTTACAGGATTTCAATCTGAGGATGATTTCATGTATTTTGCAAGAGATGCTTTTGCATGTGTGTTTGCAGACTGCTGATCTTGCTGTATCAGTGAAATTGTGCAAATTGTTGTAGTCGAGCTAATTAGAAGCAGGGTTTGGGACTTCCATGGGCATAGCTTTAGCTTTTAAATTAGTCTTATTTTCAGGGATCGTAAACAATGTTGTGTTTATAAGAATAAATAATATTATGCTATGTTATGTCAGTTATAACTAGTTTGAAAGATCGAGGATGTCGCCTAGAGGGGGGGTTGGTGAATAGGCGCTTTAAAATAATTACGGTTTAGGCTTGAACAAATGCGAAATAAACCTAGCGGTTAATTTATCAAGCACAAAACTTACAACAACTAGGCTCACCTATGTGCACCAACAACTTATGCTAAGCAAGATAAATAACTAAGTTATAGCAAGATATATGACAGGAAACAATATGGCTATCACATGGGAGCGGTACTACCGCTGGGGCGGTGGAAGCCCTTTGAAAAACAACAGCGAGGAGGCAAAAGGCCGGTAGAACCGCCGGAGCGGTACTATCGCTCGTCCTCATGGTACTACCGCTAGGGGTAGCGGTACTACCGCTAATGGTAGCGGTACTACTGCTTGCGAGCGGTACTAAAAAATACATCCGTGCCTACCACCGCGGGACTTATGACAAGTTTTTGGTCTGGAGCGAAAGTAGCCGCGGTAGTACCGCTCCCAAGAGCGGTAGTAAAAAATTACATCCCCTCCAAGCGGTAGTACCGCTACAACCTTTTTAAAGACACCAAAACTGACACAACTTCAGCAAACGGACTACGAATTCAACGAAACCAAGTTTGTTGGAAAGCTAGCGACAAGGGCTAACACAATCTTGATAGAAATAACAATAATAAGAAAATTAGAAAAGTTTCATAAGAAAATGGTGAGAACCCTTCCTCGAATAAGGCCAGTAAAACCTCCAACACCGAAAACGCAATAGAAGAAGCATGTGAACTCCGTTCGAGCTTGTCAAGAAGATGACCATAAGCTCCAGATCTCACAAGGAAAAAACCAAACAAGAACCAAGAAAGATGATGCAAGCATGCAATGGTTTGAGCTCTCTACGAACGATACGATCAAGCTACTCACTTGAGAGCCCCCCTTGATAGTACAACAATCGATCCTATAACCCGGTCTCGAAATTATCACAATGAGACCGGTAAAATAGAAAACCTATCAAGGGCAAACATTTGCCTTGCAAGTACACTTGAGCTAGATGATGATGATCTTGACTCCCTCAAGTTGGACCACCTTTCGTGATTGCGTTGGCTCGATGAAGGCTAGTTGATTGCTCCCCATACTCCACTATGGGTGAGTCACTCTTCGGGACACCTTCACAAGTCCATTGTCACCACAATGGACGACAAGCTACAAGCATGATTTTTTTGTGATGCTCCACTTGAACTTGCACAACATAATCTTGATTTGATGTCATCCTTCATGGGTTGTATGTGATCTTCCTCTTGACGCAAGCCCATGGAAGCAAACCTAACCCCACATAGAACTCTCAGAAAGACCATGGGTTAGTACACAAAGCAAAGTGGACAATGCTTACCAACCCTGAGATCACTTGATCCCACTCGGTGTATCTTCTACGTTTTGTGTGAAATCTTCTCTCTTCATAAAGATGATGTCTTGAAGATACACATGAATGTTCACACAATCTTCTCTTCTTCTTCAAGACATGCTAGCAATAAGCTCAATACTCACATGACCAATCTTTGCATAATTCCTTAATAGCACCTTGGTCAACTCATAAACTCCTTGAAACCAACACATGGACTTCAAGAAATGCCTATGGACAAATATTTCAAATATAACTCAATGCAACCATTAGTCCATAGAGAATGTCATTAATTACCAAAACCACACATGAGGACACTGCATGTCCTTTCACAGTTTACATGTACTTGTTTTCAATGCAATATTCCTTCTTTCCCCGAGATGCCCCTAGAAAGTAATAACATGACCCGTGTTTATGACATGTGGAATCAGACCCCGCGCGTCATAGAAATGGCATATGTCAAAGCCGTGCATTAAAATCTGCAGGGACAAGTACATGTCTGTCCCTAAATTCAATGTTCACTAGAACAGTTCTAGAAGTAAAAAAAACCTCTGCATTCATGATTCACGTATGACTGCTTAAGTTCAAGAATTTATGGTGTCTTGTTGAATTTGAAGTTGCACGAATGCATTATCTTAATATTTTGTGCTTATCCTTTTTTGCGGGGTAAATACTTGTATTGTCAACCAATACCACAATTACAATCAACTTTGCTAATGTTTTTTCGCCTCGGGAATTAATCAGACTATTCCGAGCGGAACGAGCAGGGCGAGCTTTGGATGAATCGATCTATTATCGAGCAATCTTATTCGAGTGAATTGCAAGAAACCACCACATTTGGGGCTTATCTTGCAGAAAACCACCTGATCGCTAATCATTTGCAAAAGCCACCGCGGATTCAGTAAAAGTGCTACAAAAAGCACTGAACATGTGGTTTAGCCCGTTTAACCATTTTCTGACTAGTGGGGCCGGACTGTAAGGAGCTGATTTGACAACAAATTGACATATACCTCCCTGGAT